CGTGTGTACAACAGTTCATGAACAAATACAGTAACAGTCTTACAATTATAACAATAATAATACTAGAATGCACATTCTGACTGAATGACTTGTCTGCAGTGTTTCTACGAGCTAAGCTACGGTTTCTGCTAAAATGTAATACTTCAAAGAGCGCGTCATCTCTCGGAAAATAACAGCAGGGTTACTTCTCTGAAAATATCGATAAAAATCTTGATCGTAGAGATTTATACAGCTTATATTGCGATGTTTTTCACGTCTGTCATTATCAGTCCCTTAAAGGGTAGTAGTACAATGTCAACTGAAATGTAAAGGCCTTCAATTAGTCATAAATACAAACTGCCCTCCCTTTCCAAAACTTAACCCAATTTCTGCTTCACTTAAAAAAATGTACTTCTTGTTATTCATTAGCAAATTATATCTTTTCCTCCAGATTTCTGACATAAAACAGGTTATTTACATTTTACTCAAAGTAAAATAAACTCATGCTGAATAAACGCAGCCTCGTGGATGTGCTGAAAATAATGTAACAGTCGCCTGAGAGATCCACTTTCCCTCCTTTGTTTTGTTTAAACAATATGTTAGGGCACACCTTGACTACTCAAACATGTCAGGAATGTTGTCAGGTAGCCACACTGTAAATATGGCATTTCTGAAATAGAGATTTTATTGGCAAAGTACTCCTGAGCAACACCTGTGTCTGCGACAGAAATTCCTCCATTGTTTGTCAACATGCTGCAGCTAAACCCACAATGCACCCTCTCCACACCTGAGAATGACTGCCCATCTTCTTTTTTTTTTCTTTTTTTTTAGGCTGTACATTGAAACACCTTTTTGTTCATTTGTGGTGACATTTAATGTGTTAAGATACATTAGAATGTGTAAACATGGCAAAAATGGGTGACTTTACTTGAATGCTGTTTATTAGCATGGAGCTAATGTGGAGGGATGCTGGGATGTGGTTGAGGAAATACATTGAACACATGTTTAGGGATACTTGGAGTTACTCCTCATGGTGCTAGAAGCAGGTGGGAATGAAGGAGAGAAGGATCCGGAGCAGCAGGCTGGATGTCTCAGGTATAATCGCACAGGTGAAGGAGAGAGAGAGGGAAAAAAAAAAAGAGGCCAAGACTAATACTGTGGTTGATGTGGTCAGTGTTGAGTTGAGCAGAGGGATGAGGCTGAAGGGAGAGGGTCTAAGGTTCAGGGCTGGGTCACTGCACTGGGCTCCTTCTCATAGATGTAGCTGCCCACACCACCAGTGTTCACGCCTGGAAGAACCACAGGGACAGCAGCAAGGGGTCAGGGAGAGGTTAAGAACAGAGAGGAAATAAAAAAGGTTCAACATGAGCAGGAGAGGTTGCAAAACATTTCCTGTACAGGCTCAAGACGCTGCTGTTCTGTTAGGTTCTGTTATGATGAAATGACTCTTGGGTAATAAACCGTGTGCAGCGTGTGCAGCATGTATCAAGTTCTCAGACATTATGACATTCTGTTTCAAGTGTAGCTGATAATCGGTGGGTTGACAGCACCCCCTAGCGGTTACCTTTGGGCCCGAAGAGGACGGCATAGCATGGCTTGTGGCAATAGGGCTGGCCGTCATGCTGGAAAAAATCAAAAAGAGAAACATTAAAACCATGAAAACAACATGACCTTTCATAAAATAAGTGAAGGGGTGCTGCTGTTTGAAGACCGAGACAAAGCCGAGTAAAAATGCTTTAGAAGACCGAGACTGGTCCTGAGTACTACAACACCAGTCTTCGTTTTGTGGATGCTGAACTGAAACACTCGCAGACCCCAGAAAAGCTGTTACGTAACGAGCATAAAACAAATATAAAACACACGCAGGTCATGCACTTGAATGAAGCAAAATGAACAAAGCGAGAAGGGTTTATGTGGGGAAATAACACCTCATTTATGAAATAAAAAGCTCCAAAAATCTTCACCATAATTAAGACCAGGAAAAACAAAACAGTGTCTTTAACCTGTCAACACCCCAAAAAGAGCCTTTTTAACGTCTCTGTCTTCAAACAGCAGCACCCCTTCACTTATTTTATGAAAGGTCATGTTGTTTTCATGGTTTTAATGTTTCTCTTTTTGATTTTTTCCAGCATGACGGCCAGCCCTATTGCCACAAGCCATGCTATGCCGTCCTCTTCGGGCCCAAAGGTAACCGCTAGGGGGTGCTGTCAACCCACCGATTATCAGCTACACTTGAAACAGAATGTCATAATGTCTGAGAACTTGATACATGCTGCACACGCTGCACACGGTTTATTACCCAAGAGTCATTTCATCATAACAGAACCTAACAGAACAGCAGCGTCTTGAGCCTGTACAGGAAATGTTTTGCAACCTCTCCTGCTCATGTTGAACCTTTTTTATTTCCTCTCTGTTCTTAACCTCTCCCTGACCCCTTGCTGCTGTCCCTGTGGTTCTTCCAGGCGTGAACACTGGTGGTGTGGGCAGCTACATCTATGAGAAGGAGCCCAGTGCAGTGACCCAGCCCTGAACCTTAGACCCTCTCCCTTCAGCCTCATCCCTCTGCTCAACTCAACACTGACCACATCAACCACAGTATTAGTCTTGGCCTCTTTTTTTTTTTTCCCTCTCTCTCTCTCCTTCACCTGTGCGATTATACCTGAGACAACCAGCCTGCTGCTCCGGATCCTTCTCTCCTTCATTCCCACCTGCTTCTAGCACCATGAGGAGTAACTCCAAGTAGCCCTAAACATGTGTTCAATGTATTTCCTCAACCACATCCCAGCATCCCTCCACATTAGCTCCATGCTAATAAACAGCATTCAAGTAAAGTCACCCATTTTTGCCATGTTTACACATTCTAATGTATCTTAACACATTAAATGTCACCACAAATGAACAAAAAGGTGTTTCAATGTACAGCCTAAAAAAAAAGAAAAAAAAAAGAAGATGGGCAGTCATTCTCAGGTGTGGAGAGGGTGCATTGTGGGTTTAGCTGCAGCATGTTGACAAACAATGGAGGAATTTCTGTCGCAGACACAGGTGTTGCTCAGGAGTACTTTGCCAATAAAATCTCTATTTCAGAAATGCCATATTTACAGTGTGGCTACCTGACAACATTCCTGACATGTTTGAGTAGTCAAGGTGTGCCCTAACATATTGTTTAAACAAAACAAAGGAGGGAAAGTGGATCTCTCAGGCGACTGTTACATTATTTTCAGCACATCCACGAGGCTGCGTTTATTCAGCATGAGTTTATTTTACTTTGAGTAAAATGTAAATAACCTGTTTTATGTCAGAAATCTGGAGGAAAAGATATAATTTGCTAATGAATAACAAGAAGTACATTTTTTTAAGTGAAGCAGAAATTGGGTTAAGTTTTGGAAAGGGAGGGCAGTTTGTATTTATGACTAATTGAAGGCCTTTACATTTCAGTTGACATTGTACTACTACCCTTTAAGGGACTGATAATGACAGACGTGAAAAACATCGCAATATAAGCTGTATAAATCTCTACGATCAAGATTTTTATCGATATTTTCAGAGAAGTAACCCTGCTGTTATTTTCCGAGAGATGACGCGCTCTTTGAAGTATTACATTTTAGCAGAAACCGTAGCTTAGCTCGTAGAAACACTGCAGACAAGTCATTCAGTCAGAATGTGCATTCTAGTATTATTATTGTTATAATTGTAAGACTGTTACTGTAATTTGTTCA